TTTCCCACCAAGAAGCCGACGGCGAGCCCGCGCTTGGCAGCCGCGGCGGCGGCGGCTTCTCCGACGAGCTCCCCCGCCCGCGCCTCGCCAGTGTTTTATATGCCAAGCGCAGGAATGAGGAGACGCTCAGTAAATACAAATCCGTGGGCATTCATATTATTTACATTCCTCGGAGACCTTCTCTCTTCCCAATGATAAGATTATTCAATCAGGATGTGGGGGAAATAAAGAGATCACTTAATTTGACCATAGGGAATTCTGTTCCACTTGGTTAGCTTAGACACGGTTCTCTGTCCTAACCAATTTCAATCCGGAGGCAAAAGGGAAGCGCATGCAAATAGGCCCTGCCGCCCGCCCGCTCTCTGCGCAGCCCCGGGTCATCACCTCCCTCCCAGTCCGTCCCTCCTTCCCCGCGGTGGGACCGAGGAGGAGAGGGCCCGGGGGACCCGCGGTCATTCTTGGCAGGGACAGTGGGCGCCAGCCCCTCTCCCCCCAAAGAAATCAGAGTGGGGCGGGGGGGGAGGAGAGAAACAACCGAGGCTGTTGGTCTGCCTTCCCAATTCCTTCTCCCAAGGCTGGCGGCCTTCGCAGCGAAAGAGACCCGGGACCGCGCCTTGCGCCTTTGAAGCCGAGAGTCAAATGGAGTGACCTTGGCGGGCGCCTGTCTTGCCTGCCTTGGGTTTCAGGAATGGCTTCCTGGTGGGGCTGAGTGGGGAGGGAGACACTTCCGAGGTGATTTGGACTTATTCTCCCCTGATTCCACGGAGGGACAGGGTCAGGAGTGCGGATGATCCCTTTCTGAACCCTTACTACTCTGAATGTATCATGCTCGGTCCTTTGGTTTATTTTTTTTTTCTCTCTCTCTCTCTTCTGGTGGCCCAGGTATACTTCTTGCTCTCCAGAAGAAGGCGATGATGACAGTCATAGCGGCAGCACAGGGCCTCTCCTCCCCGCTCTCATAAAGATATTTGCCACTGGGATCACTCCCTCCTTCCGCGCAGGTACTGCTGTCCCACTCAACCTCACGATGGGAACAGCCTGATCCAAGGCCAGGCCTCGCCACTTTTCAATGGCATGGGTTGGATGAAATAAGGATACCAGTCTGTGCTGGTTAAAGCTTGTCTGGACTATAGGAATCTAGANGGGGGGGGGGGGGAGAGGCGGGAAATAGGAAGAGAAAGGCAGGATCATTTTCTGGTGCCTGCAGTATTCCCGCCCCAGGTGAGTTCAGGGTGATTAAGCAGTAGTGAACTTCTCAACCCTACTGAAGCCCAGGCGATCCACACCATCGTGGAGACTAAGCGAGCGAAGAGATCTGGCCAACCGCTTAGATAGGCAACTAGGAGAATCCCGTTATTCGGGATTAATCCACCCGGTGTCCAAGGGTGTGGTATTGGGGATGTGCCTGTTTTGGCTCGGAGCCGTCCAAAGGCGGAGGAGGAGCCCCTTTCACCCCAGGGTCCAGTTCTTGGGTGATGGAGAATTTGGGGGGAGGGGGGTTTAACGATTCCAGGTTAGAAGAGAAAGTGAATGTGAATCCTAATCTACCGGGGGCGGGACCTCAGGGAAGAAAGGCGGGCGCCTTGACGGATGGGTGAAGGAATTAATTAATCAGTCCTCGAAAAAAGCGTGTGCGCCAATTAGGAAAGGGAAGGAGGGTTTGGGCAGAACGGTGGCCTGCCAGGTGCAGGGATGGCCGGCGCAAAAACCCCACCGCCCCAAAACACCCCTTCGCGCGCCCCGCGCGCGCGCACACACACACACAAACACACGCACGCACTTTCTCCGGCACACCCTCGGCTTAGCAGCTCACCTTGAAGAAGCCTTTGCACCCCTCGCAGGTGCGCACCCCATAGTGCTGGCAGGCGGCGTTGTCCCCGCAGACGGCGCACAGCCCCTCGTTGGAGGGCGAGCCCCGCGAGGGCGGCGAGGGCACCTGGGCGTCCAGGAGCTGCGAGGCGTGCCCGATCTGCAGGCCGGGAAAGCCGACGGCGGCGGCGGCCTGCTTCCGGATGGGGCTGGGCAGGGCAAAGGCGGGCTGCCCGTCGTGGTGGTGGTGGTGATGATGGTGGTGGTGGTGGCCGCCGGGCCCGTGAGCCGAGGGCTCGCCGTTGAGCGGCGG